TGTTACTGATGAGGGATCATGCAGCAGTTGCTTTAAAGCTCTGAGAAATAACAAGGAAAGAAAAAAGGAAGATATAATTTTCCTCTGCTCTCCATCTACTTTGTAATGCACATTTACATGCTCATGATTTTATATCTGTGTCTTTTTTATATCAAGGCAAGTGGCACAAGTATAAATATCTTGCCAATTTGAGGAAATTAAGTTTTATCTAAAACACCCTGTTGCAAGCACGAGTTTCCTCAACATGATATTCAGATAATTGTAAATCTAAGTGGAATAGGTTGCAGGTAGCAGTAACAGCTGCATCCAATATCCCACAATTACCTTATATACCACTGTCACCTTCTGATAACGCAGAAATGTATGACTAATAGCGAATTTCATATTATTGCAAGAGAAAAGTATTCTTGTACCACCTTTGGGATGACGATGAGAGCTGGTCATCATTAAAACACATTGAACGTAACATGAAGGGTAACTATCCAAAGATATGCTAAAGGTGTTACAAAATGACAGTCAGATGTCACATTAGAAAAGAAACACTCAGAATTAACAAATACAGCAAATTAGCAAATAAACAAATGTGGTGTCAGATCTATAGTTAGGGATTTTCCCTGCCTCTAACCTTTCAGTTTGTTTTATTATTTAAAAAAAAAAACCACAAAGTTTCATAGGCTACTATCTATAAAGACCTCATCCTTCCAATCAAACAAGACAGTAAACAGCCTAAGTCAAATTCCAGTTACACAATGGACCTAAGCTCAATAATCTCTGCACACAAGAAGATTTACCATGGATGAAAAGTGTCACTTCCTTCCCCATGGCATCAGATTTCAGTCTCTGAAAAATTCGGCTTTGGCTAAATGCTTTTTGGCCTGCCACTAATTTAAAGCAATCGTCTGACATAAAAGAAAAAGAAAATATTTAGATATAGATACATATCGCTTTAATATGTTGACATTTTATTTTCATGTTTATACACACAACACCTTCAATATACCCTGTCCTTCAACCCTCTACAATATCCTTGATGTTTTGTATCACGTAAAGACAAAAAAAAAATCCCACAAGATGCAAAAAAGGACTTATTGAGAAAGCATTCTTAGAGACAATGACAGGGAGCATACGTTAGAGAAAAAAGTCTGGAAATTTTTCTATCTTCTGTTCATAAGCAGGAGAGACCTTTAGTCTGAATCTGAATTTAAATTCCTGAGAATGAAAAGTGCAAGATCAGTCACTGGAAAGAGAGATCACACTAGCTGATCGGGGCAGGGGGGATTGCATTTTTACTTAAGGCACTATTCTGATTATGACATACATGAAGGAGGATTTCTACCTTTAAAAGACTATTGAGAAACTTGATTAAAGCGACTCTACATGCCTTTGATATGTTTCAGAGAGATAAAATCTCACTCCTCCTACTCGTTCACCCAAAGCGATTGGGCAGTTTTGCCATCCAAAAATAATCAGCCAAGCATTGGCCCAGCTGTTCCCAATATATGCAATCCTGCCTTCAGTTTTGTTGCAACAGAATTTCCAGTCCAATCCTAGTCTCAAAAAGCAGTAGTTCCCGACATTTCTCTCCATCTTTCCCAGTGCTCTGTAGATCTGAGCATCCAGCAGCATCTCACTTTACTTTTGCAGGAACAGTCTGAGGTCCCCTGACCTTTCCAGGTTCATTCAACACTTCAGACACTGTTCAAGCAGTGTTTTCTCTTGCCTAACCCCATCAGACCACAGGTGTGAGGAATACCAGCACCAGCCTGTGTCAGCTAATTAGCCTGTAATTCCTTTGGCATAAACGTGGCAAGTCACATAGCCCAGGACCTTTACAGGGAAATCTAGAGCCAATTTGAATCTGAAGCGATTCTCAGAATATCAGGACATCACCTCATGTTACCAGCTAATTGAGGGGGTAATTTCATCTACAGTCAGCCTCAGAGATGCTTGAGTCCTAACAGAGACTATAAAGATTCATAGTTAATTGCTTACAGGATTGTGCCATTACATTTAGCACCAGCTTGTGTGACAGGTCACAAAAGTGTGTTTTCAAAAAAAGAAATTGTTGTTGACCTACCTGGACCTTAAATAGAACAATTACATCAATGCTGAATCACTGTGAAAAATCCCGCTGATACGTCACTGACTCTCGGCTCCTTCCTCAAAAACAGCAACAGTAATACTGAACGTCTCTCCTTTGTTATTTTTTGGTTAATAGCTGGCAAGCCGCTCGAACTGTCTGAACTGCCCCTTCCCCTGTCCTTTTACATCACCTTTCACCATCGCATCGCCGGCAGGAGCCTGAGGTACTGCTGCAATGCCAACAACACAGATGGGTTTTAACAGTACAAAAACAGAGGTCTTTCCTTCCCCAGACAAGATAGCAGAGGAGTCCATTGTGGAGAAAACTCACAAGCCACCAAGGTAAGACCACCGAGCTTGGCAAGCCTAGGAAACACATCAGCCTCCCACAAGGTTGGATCCTCGGAGCCAGGACCCAACTGGAACACCAGTGTTTGTCTGACTTTCCTTCCGGTCAAAATATGGAGCTGCTAAGCTAGACAATTTGGGCAGCCTAAGATTTTTCAGTGGCTTGCTCAACAGGCTCAGATTTCTTAAAACAGACTCCCTTTCCTCAGCTCATCCTAAGCCATACGAATTTTCTGGATCTGCTGCCAAAAACACACATCATCACCACACCTTGGGTGAGTAAAGCCGAAGGCCCACTGCCAAGTGTTGCAACCACCAAAAACCAGTTGGTGGAAAACACCAGGGCCAAACGGCACTCCCTCTGTTACATCTTCCTGGAGCTGTAAAAATGGATCTTGAAAATCTTTAAAATACTTAAAAGATACTTAGCAAAAAAACCCCAAATACATCAGATTTTTAAAACCTCATTTCATTATTTTTTGAAAATAAACTATGAACACAACTGAGCTGTCAGAGTGACATTTTCCTTTTCTTCTTTGCTCACAGAAAACTATTGCTGTCTTGCTGGCAAGGCATAACATCGAATTGTCCAACTAAGGGCAAGAAAAGAAGGTGGAAAACCGGCTTTCTGGTTAAGAAGGTGAGATTGAAAAAGAAAGATTTATCAGTAACTGAGAAAAAGTGGGCTTGACCACCTCAGATCCATGAAAAGGAGATGTAGAGTTTACTGACAAAACAGTATCCTCTTACAAAGGGAGATTTTATCAGTTCGATTCATACTGCAGCAAACTTGACAGGAGATACCTGCTAGTGTTGCCTCCTATTAATCGAACTGATGCACAGAAAAAAAAAGACTGTCTTAGAGGTAACAAAGCATGATGTTATCTCCTGCTTAATAAACAGAGATCGGTGAGACTAGATGACAGAACCCAGTACCTTCTGACCACGGCACATGAGAGGGAGACACAAGACACCACAATCCCAGGGTAATGTGGGCATACTGTCACCATACAGATGGATGCACTTTTTTTTTTTTTATACTCACACCAGTGTAATGAATGAGATGACTGCAAAGGGGAACAGAAAAGACTGATGAGAATATAGACACATAGACAGTAGTGCACTCTGTGTTACTGAGTAAATACCCTGGTGTTTGCAAATAATATTTGGACTTGTAAACCTCTCATTATCATCCTAGTCATCTGCACTCTTAAAAGCAGAGTTTCCTTCCATTTTTCATGCTTCACTGTTGAAGTGGCAGCTTTTCTTTTATCCTTCCTCAAAGGTCATTAGCAAAGCTCACGGATGCCTTTGTTCCCTCAATATTTGATTTCTTGGTATCAGAAACAAGAAGCATTTTTTCCCAGATCAATTTCTTAGCTGAATTGAGGCTGTAGAACTTAATTAAAAAAATATACTTCAATGATTTAATCTTTAAGATTCTTATTTTTAATAAGATTATTTATGGGTACTTAGTATTTGAATGGTAGCTATTACACTGTATGTATATTGCTATATACAAGAGAAAATAACATCTAAGAACAACCAGTTAAATATATTTTCTTAAACATTTATCTAAGACGAGTATGAAAATCTTGTGAACACTCCCCTGTCTGTGTTTTGGATGGCAGTGGGAAAAAAACTGTAGCAGCAGCTACACGCTGACCATCATAACATTGCAGAAGTCAAAGGAGCTGGCATCGCAAATTTTGTTGCCATCACAAACATCTGCGAGCTTGCAGCAGATTGGTGTATGAAGACATGTTTATGGCCAAAGGTTAGGCTGCTAAAACTGTTTTTCCAAAACCCCTAAGTGTAGGATTTGAAACCTTAACTGCTATCCTCAGCTTCAAAATCTACTTGGTAGGCAACAGCTCAGAGAGAAGTTCAGATGAAATGGATGCAGTCAGACGATTTTTATCACATAGTTGGCAGAGAAATCAGGCTGTTATATGCTGATCACTCTGGGGTCAGCCATCAAAAACGTAGACTCAGTGCAGTGACAGCCAAATAGGTAAATTCATTGAAGGTTAGACTTCTGCCTAACAGATGGATAATGAGAAAATAGAAGACATCATGCGCAGTTCCATTCTGTAACTGTTAACCTTCCTTTTCTGGTGCAAATATTTTTGGTGTATGGTTTACTCCTTACTGCCACAAGCAGAGATCTGTGAACAAGGCAAGGCTTTGCTTCATCTTTGCTTTGGTATCTGGTTCGAAGACCACATACCACCAATATTTGCATCTAAATCTTGCACACACTTTTGTGAGGTTGAAATCTCATTCTTATATGGCTGTATATCCAAATAGCACCCTATAGCTCTACAACTGCCTTTCCATTCCCTAAAACAGTAAAGAGAATTTTTAAAAGTAATCTTGAATTGCCAATGACTTTAATGCTGGAACCAGTAGCGGTCCTCATACACAGTACTGAATAAAATACATAGTTTTCTTTTTTAACAAGCTAACATGGATGTTCATTCTGTATGGATTCATGTTCCCTGAATATTTATTAGTCTATTACCAAAACATTTATGTATCTCCTTCTGACGAGATTCATCAAAATATACTTAGAATTTAGACAACTGAGGTGACGAGCAGTTTTTAAATTGCTTCTTCCGTTCCACTGCAGTTCGCAAAGCCTGAAGAATTAAATGTTTATTATTCAGGACGTTGTAGTTGCACAGGTTCAGCAACTTGTTGAAATTCTCTTCAGTATACGTAAGGAGACCAGTACCATAGGGATAAATACAGTTGGACACGTCTACTCTTCCCTGCTCCATCTCTGTGGGACTGCGCTCCACATCTGAATTAAGAACATAGCAAAGTTCAACACAGCAATGTTACTGAGGTGGGATACTCTTACCAGGCAATGAAAAGTACACAGTAACAGCCACAAGAAATGGAATTCTCTCAGGAAAATAGTTCAAGATTTAACTGCTGTATAGATAGATATTACATCTGCTGCACTCCTAAAATCCACTACCTTGCTGCTTGACTACAGTCACAGCTGATCCAGAATTGACTGGCAGAACAACTTTTCCATGCAAAATGCTTTCTTCTTTTAATTAAAGTTTTCCATCAGAGTATTTCAATTATGCAGATTTGGAATTTTGTATTTTTAACTTTCCCACTGGGTACTGAGATGACAGCTCCTTATCTATCAACTGGTAGAAAATGACACCAGGAAGCTCCTGGATTAGGAATTTTCCCTCTCAGTGGCTGAGATTTTAAGCCCATGCAGCATGACAAATATGATTCTAAACTACATGAGGTCTTTTTCAATAAGTTGATACATGGATTTTTGTTCAGTTTTTGAGGAAACTTTCCTGGATCATACTAAATTAGCAACAAGAAAATTGGAGTTGATGCATGTAAAAGTATTTGTAAACCGAAATTGAATTTGCCAAGTAGTTTTTATGGTGAAACAAACAAATCACTATTTATTCTACTGCTGAAATAATGAAAATGATCTGGTAAACTTTTCAGAAATGACAGATATCAAAGCAGCTTGTTACCCTGGCAAATCCTTTGCTTCATTATATGTTTTCAGCACTTCCATTCTCAATTTTTTTTTTAATGTAAACAAAGCAACAAGAGGATTCTAGCTTGTTTAACAAAGTAAACGTAGTGTCTCATTACAAGACTGTTAAGTGACAGTGTTAGCTACCAGAGGATATAACTTAGTAGCTGCCTCCTGTCCTTTGTTATCAAATGAACACAAACTGTCCCAGATGCCAGATAAGGGGTTTTGTCTCAAGCTACAGCTATTCACACTTTTAATTTTGAAACTCTTCAGTTCATTCCCTGATTAGTTGGCCCACACTGTATCTGCCAAAACAGGGCTGGGAATATGACAACTTAGCCAATTGAGAAGCTTGCCAGTTTTAGAAGAGAAAAACATTCAGTGGATAAACTGGATGTGAAAATGATTGATTAATGCTAACTTACTTGGTGCCTTGTATTTTTGGAAGGTGTCACACACCAGTGGGAAATAGGCCAAGATTGGTGCCTCTAAGCTGTCCTCAAACACATAACATTCCTTCAGGTGTTCCCGGTCTTCCTGGCTCAGCTCTGTGCCAGGGAATGGAATCCCATGTTCCAAACAGTACTCTGAGAATAGGTCCAGTGGCTGGTTCAACAAAGAGAGTGAAACACAAAGAGAGGTTGAAATAAGGCTACCGAGCCCTATAACTGATGTTTTGCTGCACTAGGAAATCTGTGATTGATTTCTGTGTTTACAAATAATGCTAACTATGCAGTGGAACAAGCATATCCTCTTGATTTTAATACATCCTGGGTAACAGAAATTTGATTGATTTGCTAACACTGTACATTTTTTAAAGTAAGATTACTGTTTTCTGACATTTATATGAAATTCAGACAATTTTTGTGATTTAGAGGGCACAGTAGAGGATTTGGATCAGGAAATTTTGATTACACATGATATCTCAGACCACAGGTTCTTGAGTGTTTGTGTTCGGTGCCTCTAACAATCAATGCCTTCATGTCCTCCTACAAATAACTTACACTAATTTCAGTCATATATAGCTCTCAATGTTTCTTCAAACACAGCAAAACAAAAACCTGACTGAAACTTATGCCAACATCAAGAGTCAAATATAAAAGAAAAACTCTGAATTTTCATTCAAAAATAGCAAAATTATGTATTAAATAAATACATTGTAAAAGTTATTTAACTGACTATCGAGAAACTTGGTACCACAACAAGAAATCTGCACAGGTACACAGAATAAGTAATCCTCTACGTGCCTGTGTCCATGCGCGTGTCCCAGAAAGCTACTGAAAATAGCCCCAATAAAGACAGGGACATTATGGTCACAGTGTTGAATGGTATCACTGATACAATCATTTAACTTAATAAAAAACAGATCATTTTCTGAAAAAGAGAAAAGTGTGGTAATTCAATTGCTGGAGGCATACAGATAAAGAATCACTACTTCAAAACTTCACCAGAGTCTGTGATCCTCCGCTGTAATTTAAATGCAAAATGACATCCACTTTCCTCTCCGGCCTCAGAACGGGTGGGCAGCTAGTGTTGATGAAGAAAGCTGTATCTACCAATTTGAGGTAGTCATCCATTTTGTTCAGCTGGTTCGGAGAAGAATCCAGCACTGTGTCTGAAAGTCAAAAATTTATATTATCAATTAATTACTGCAGCGGCAAGTCCATTTTTGTCCAAATCAGCATAACAAGGAAAGAAAGGACAGACCAAACTTATGTTAGTCTTTGACACAAAGCCTACAGCTAAATATTTGTCTTTGACACAATTTTCGCATCTATAGCTCAACTCTGAGATCAGTAAGAGGGAGCAGCTCTGAGACTCAGCTTCATCTAAAGTGATACATTAGGCTGCTTTTTCAACTTGTGCAAATTTGTGGCTATTTAGCTTCAGTGGAAGCTATAAGTCATTCTTCTGCAGCTTTTCCTAAGAAAAACGGAATTCAAGGCAAGCCTGCTGTAGCTTCTCCAAGACAGAAACAAGGATCAGCCGTAAATCATCTGGGCCTCAGCAAAACCAATCCCACAGACATTTTAATCAAATAATATTAATCAAAATTTGCCTTTATGTTAAAACTTGTAAAATATTTGTCCTCAGCAAGTATCAGCACTCAAATCACCTTCAAAGATGCATCCAAAACAATTCACTATTACCTTTCCACATGCAAAAGCTCTTGTTCTCTAAATACTTGTTATGTAACTGCAAGCCCTTGAGGAAATTATGGTAAGTTGAAACCACTGGCCGTCCAGTCATCATTTCTCGAAGAGTATTGGAAAGGTAGCCTTTGGGAATGGATAAGCAAGTTGTCTGTTCATGAGGCTTCTTGGGCAAAACAGGATATTCCTCTGTAGGAAGAATGAGAAGAGGGTATATGTCTGCATTTGTTTAGAGTGTTTCTCTGATACTGATAATAACAAAGAAAGAGGGGCTGGGCAGCCAAACCACTACAGCCTCGTCTTCGATGGAGTGCACGCACCAACATGCAGACTGTTCTGGGCAGAGGTGGGTTTCAGTGTCACAGCATCATCTTGTTGTTCCCCATCTGGCCTCTCCCTCCCCATAGGACTCATGGTAACCCTCTCATGACTAACAAAACTCCCCAGGGATGTTGCACAGTGAGCAGTGCAGTTTTTTCCTGTTTTCCAGCACAACTGTTTCTCTTCTGATTCTCCTTCTTTCCCAAAGGCTTGGTGTCCCCTAACCCAGAAACAGGACACAAAAATCAAACCCTTAACCAAATGTCAGGTTTCATGTTTCAGAGAGGAGTGAAGACAACGCAGATGCAAGTGAAAAGTAACCTGAATAACTAACCAAGGTCATGCTCAGTGCCTCGGGTCCATCTGTGCCAGAAGTCCTCCGAATGACCCAAGAGGTAGACGGCATCCATAAAACTCTGGGAAAATATATTACTCCATGTGCCTTGAAAGTTTGGGGAAAAAAAAAAAAGCCATACTTAATACTGCTTTGAATTTTTAGAGCACAGCTATGGCAATCTACTTGGATTCAATATCTATGGTTGTTTAAATTAGCATTGGTTTAGTTATGAAATATTAATTTTTGTATGAATGTCAAGTGCCCTACCTTTCTGCATATTGTCTGCCTTATGGCTAGGCCATTTTAGAAACTTGGCTGTTTATAAAAGTCAGACTGTGATTTTAAATACTTCAAAAGATCAGTTCAAATCGGTGTGTTCTGTTTTGGTCTAACCTAAGTTCAGCAAATTAATTGCATTTGTCTCAAGAATTTGCTTCCTCTTTTGTCACTTTTGGCTGGTTCATTTGAGATTTAAATTGCATCAGATACACTACCTGGTGTACTAGTATTGCTACTTGCAGACCAGTAGTTGTTAGATGCCAACTCTATGTAGCCACTCTAACTATGAGGTTATAACAGTGATGTTTTTCTGAGAGAGTAAATCACCTTCCAAGAAGCAGATGCGGGACTCTGGGATCTTCTTCATCAGGCGACCCATGAAGAACTCACTACCAAAATCCTCTGAACGAACGAATGCTCCATATTTCAGGAAACCCACCTCGTAAGGTGTGAACTCCACCCACTCTGCAAATAAGGCATCAAGAAGGACTTATTGCAGACACCTGAACACATGTAAAAATAAATGCTTAGAGAATCAGAAGCTGGAATAACAAGGCCTGTAGCTTCAGCACGTTGGTGAAAGACAGTTCAAACCACCATGTTTTGAAACAAACAGGTGCCCTTTGATGTACTGTGTGTTAGATTGATGAACGCAATGTCCTCTACCAACACTGCGAAAAAACATTCAGCTTGGGGTTCAGGTCCATTTCTGTATTAGGAAGCAAAACTTGGAGCTGAAAGTCCACCAATTGCTAAGGCCCTGTTCAAGATGTGGTGTTTTTAGTTCTTCAGAGTCAGCAATGACACTAGCTATCATTCATTCTTAGACTCTGATAATCACTGCCTTGTGAAGCTAAAAAAAAACCCTCTGACCAAAACCCACCCAAACCTTGGCTGAACACACCGAGACTGCAGATTGTGCCTAGAAGCAGATGACTGGGTTCAGTTGCAGGACCTCCTGCTTCGTTTGTGCTAGAAAACTCTGTGGAAATAGTGATTAGGATCACTGATCAGGGCATGGAGCCCTGCCCCTCCTCAGATCCCTCCCTGGAGGAGCTGCCTCCCACTCTCACTCCCCCTCCACATCTTCCCTTCTTCTCTCTTCCTTGCCCTCCTCCCCCAGCTTTTCACAGCTCTCTTGGAATACTGCTGCCTGAGCAGGAACCCCAGCAGCTGAAAGAGGCTGTGAGAAGTAGGTGAGGACAAGAGAAAGAAAGACCAGCAGTGGTTGCTCTCAAGGCTACCAGAAAAAGGCATCTCCATTCCTCACAGGGCAGTGTCTTTGCACAAGTATCTCCCTACCATAGTATTAGAAGGCAAGTTTTTCATCCAAGTCAGAAATCAGGTGTGAAGACAGGAAGAAGAAACTATTTAAAAGATTTATTAACTTGGACTTACAGTAAAAACTTTTGGTACTCCTTAGATTTATAGAAGCGTGTATAATAATCATTACCTTTAAAATCCAGTGTGCTAAAGTCATCCTTGACATTGAGGGACAAGTATATGGGCAGTGGATTCTGCCCCTGATTTACTGCCAGTTGCTGATCAGAGAGTTTTTGAGTACTTTCCTGTTTACAAAGAACAGAAGTCATTGTAAGAGATGAACATGATGCATGGACTTAATATGGTATCTAAGCAATGGGACTACTCATGAAACACCTCCTAAACCTCAGCAGATTTTGTTCTGTGTATTTCAGTTGTTTGACCACACAAACATGTTCATGTGTTATCTGTCATTAACCTTCACCAAAGCATAATCACTGATGTTTCTGGGAATTCTGGAATGGAGGATAGAGTGAAAATGTGAGAAACTTGTCTGCGCAGTCACTAGTATATTACTTGCTTTAAGGAAGGATAAAGATATGTAGCTACCTTGGAGGTGCTGGAGATAAAAGTCAACCAGGGCCCATTTCTTTCAATATAGTTTTGTTTGCTGGTATGGCTATCTATTGCTGTGCCTGAACTTAGCTCTGCCAGAGCCACCTCCCTTCTGTATGTTAATAGAATGCTCATTTGATCTGAAATTAAAGATGGAAAACCAGTTTCATAAACACTTTGACTTTTTACATGCTCAGACATTTCCCCTAGATGCTTACATTTTAGGCTTACTGTATTATTTTTCTTCTAAAAAGTCAAAGAAAGAACCCTGAAATTTTGAGAGTCTTTCCTACAACCGAATCCAGAGCTTTAGGCATGAAAAGTTAGAAGGGATAAGGGATGGATATACAATACCACCTGATGCTACCTGATGATGTAGCATACAATCAATGAAGAGTCCCCATAAATCTGTAAAGGACAGCTTGTGCCCCTCTTGCTTTCTTTCACAAAGCTCCTTTTCATAGTATTTCATACGATCCAAGGAGAAACAGGGCAGCTTGCTCTTGGTCACATGTTTCCCGATATCACCAGCTGGCCCTCTGAGATCCTTCTGTGACCAATTCACATCTTCATACAACTTTGCCATGGTCCTGGTAAAAAGAAACACGCTGTGGTTCATCACTGGGTACATGACAATTCACGGGCTTATACCACACATAACTGATTTGTTTCAGGCTATCGTCCTCCAACTTTTACCTTGGAAGAGGAGTTCAAAGCTCAGGTAGAATTTAGATTATGCAACGGTATTTTTGCTGCAGAGGTACAATCAAAATCACCCTAGCTTATTTCTTCTCCGAATCAAACGAATAATAAAGCTACACTTGTAACTTAACACAAGCTTTTACTAAAATTACCCTTTGATTGCCCAGGTTCAAGCCACAGATTCTGTCTGGGGCCGGTTCCTACAGTTGTTTCAGACAACTTCACACAACTCAGTTGTGTGAAACATTAAGGAGTAGCTTAGCTGCAAACATTGCCCTGGACGATGTGAGAGCTCCTGTCCTCGGGCATGCAGCAGGTCCCTTGGCACACAAGGGGCCAATCTGCTTGAGATTTCAGTTCCCAGAGTTTGGGCAGATGCCAGTCATCCCTTCTCATCCTAACCCCGCTTGTTCTAGTTCTGTCTCATGTCTCTCTTTAGAGCAGCTCTCCAGAGGCAAAATGTCTTAAAGCCCTAGACCCCTGCTAGTCATGCAAGGCAGTCAACATTGTCTGCATGACGGTCTGCGTTTCTCAGGGCTTTTCTTCTAAATTCTCCTTTCAAAGCAGCATAAGAGTTGAGCCAGAAGAATATTACAAGAGGATTTCTGAAGTGTTGCATGCAACTAGATAACCCAAGAGACACACAAAGGAAGAGAAAACATTTCCCTGCTTTCATTTCCTCATTGCCCTCAAGCATGCTCAGGGATCTGGTCTGCGTGCTTTTGGAGATTCAAGTCCCCAGGACTTCAGCTGTATTGCTTCTCTTGCATATCTGCAGCATGTTCTCTGACTCATGATTAACATTTGTTTTGTCTGCACTGGCGATCAAAAGCTTTTCTTCTCCCCCAGGAAACAATCTATGATTTTACATTCCCAAAAAAAGGCCAGCTTTTTGACCTTCCAGGCCTTATTCAGTTCCTTGTTGATAGCCATAAATAACCACTTTTCATTCAAAGTAAAACATCAAGACACCCCCATCTTAATACAGGAATCTTTTCTGGCAGGTAACTGGTAAATGAAAAACGGAGCAGAGTCATACAGAATTTTAATCAAAAAATAACAACATTTCCCACCCATTCTCTGCACCAGACACCGAGTTTATAACAGAAACAAGTCCAGCCCCCAAGAGAGCCCATAATGTGCAGCATGGCAAAAAGGCATGTATCTGAGCCACGGAATAGCTGCGAGTGGACTTGTCAACTACTCTGATACAGGTAAACCATCCTGGCTTGTGCTCCTTTTTTTAGTTTCTGTAAACACTTCAGTGCAATAATAGAAATATAGTAGCTCTCACTCAATTTGTTTCTTGTAGCTAGAAAAAATAAGGGCTACAGCACTGAGTAGTCCCATGAAATGAGTAAGCACCAAAAGGAAGTCAAGTCCCAGCATGACGCTGAGTAAAATCTGTCAGCAAGGCAATATGCTTCACCAGGTTATCACTCTGCTAACACAAACAGCAAGTGCCAGCCCAATTCTCCTTACCATGTTGTGGCAGATAAACCACTGATGTATGAGACACAGTCCAAAACACCTAACTCCTGGAGAGCCAGAAGACTACCAAACATAGCTGTCATGGACCGCACTCCTCCTGCTGTGGTCATGACTGCCACCACTGGCACCTGCTCAACACACAAAGGCACAGAGTCATTCATCACCAGATGAAATACAGAAATGATGAGCATGAAGAAAAAGTAGCAGCACCTTGATTCAGGTAGGTTTGGATTCAATTCACCCACTTCTTGGCAGCGCTTCAGTGCGTGTTCGAGTTGTGTAACCTTTGGTGAGACTTAGCGTATGTTGAAAGCATCTTCCTCATCGGTGATGCTTTGCTAAGTTGAAGCTGTAAGCATGGTTCTTGTATGGCATAATATGTTTTCAGATTTGTAAAGAGTCTTTTCAGAATGTTTTTCATTTTTCCTTAGGCATGTCTTTCCCTCAAAACACATTTTAAAATCCTGAGAATTACTGAAATCAGAGGAGCAGAGCAAAAGCTGCCTGCATAATTTTTGCTTTCTCTGAGTTCATATACAACTTTTCCTATTCTCCAGGCAGATGGTGACAAGCTTTATACATTTATTTTAACATTCTCTTTGATACTCAGACTACCTCTCCCTTCCCTGACATCAATGCTATATGTAATTTGATCTTATTTTCCTCAGGGATGCTGCAATTCTGTTAACCATCCTCCCTTTGCCCAATAGGTAATACTTAACAAAAACTGAGACAATATATTTATTCAGTTTTAGGAACATATCTTGTCATTACCTTTAATCTTGCCTTCACTGTATTTTACCATCTACTTGGAGGTTTCTGGTTTTTAATTAATACGACTCAATAATCCCTTATTCTCATTTAATAATAACAAATCCTATTCTAATTGTTATTTAAATTCATGAGCACTTTGACTTGGTTGATGAATGATGTCCTGCACTCGGCATCAAGAGATGGGTGTGTTGGGAGCTGAACAGAGCAGTGGAGGAAACCCCACACAGGCACACTCTTCCAGTTGCAGAAGAGTTTCTCTCTGACTCTTGCTCCAAATGCCACAGCCCCATAACACATTACTGTCCTCCAGCAGCTACCTCTGAGTCTGGGGATCCCCAGGAGAGGAGAAACCAAGAGGTAACACACTGAAAAACATGCAAGAGACGTGCTGCTGCACCAGTGTGCTAAAGGAGAGTTGCAGTCTTCCTCTGTGAGCCTTGGGTAGCAGCAAAGAAGGGGAGAGGTGCCAAACTGGGGAGAAATTATTTCACTCCAAGCAATCAAATTTCACCAAGCTTGGTTATACGTACATTCATCTCAACAAATAATGTTCTTTGGGTGCCCTTAAGTGAGGATGGAGGTAGGCAGAGAATAAAGGAGCTATAACTGACCTCCTGACAGTTCCTCTTTCATCCTCTGTACCAAAAATTCTTGGATATGATCTTAGGTGCTGGTGACAATCTGGCTTATACATTTCAGTCTAGAAGATGTGGAAGAGCTATATGCGTATATATGTGTAGTCATGCAAGAACATTACATCCACTTCTTTTGAAGTGGGACAAAATACTTAAAGTTCCCAAGATACTGTCCCACATACCTCATCTTCTTGCAAGTCTTCATCTAGATGAAGAACATTTTTGAGAGCAGCAGCAACCACTTTCTTCCTTTTACGGATAAAATTCAGCTCCTCTGCACAGAGATCAAAGCCCAATCGCAAATCTAAATTCTTGCAACTAGAGCATAAGAACAGGACAAGACATGTTATCTGTAAGCCGTTTCTAGAGCTACTGCTTGAGACATCAAGCAAAACCAGCAACAATAAACCGTTTCAAAAAAAGGCTATTTCCATGCACATGAAGGTTCCTCTTTGAAAATGAAAGCAGGTATAGGGATATCACAGGCCCTGTATTTCTGCCTTCCTGTGGAGCTTTTAGACCAGAATCATGTCCTGAACTATTTCACATAATCATGAGGAAGATAAATGAATTAAATTCTCTCCTGATGAAAAACAAGGAACATAAATGAATTCAAGCTGTTTCACATTGAACTCTGAAATTTGGACATCTCTTCACATTCTCTTGCTATGTATGTTTCCTGAAGAGCAGAGGGATACTAAGCAGTTACTCAAACTTAACACACTTTAGGCAAAACGACTCTACTGCCATGTTAGGCTTATCTCTACTAAGAACTTGTGCTGTAAATATTTGAGTCAGAAGACACCTCTTAAGTGTATCCCTTCATATCTGTACATGATTATGAACTTCATGTGCATCATTAATTCTGTAACTTCTATTTTCACAGGGCTACTGTTTCAGGGTTTTTTCAGCCAAAAGGTTATTTTTTCCCTACTGTGACTCTTCAATATTCGGTAAAAACCTATTATCATCTAGCTGCGATTAGTGCTTGCAATGTAGCTAACTAATCAGAAGGGGGTAATGTTGTCCTTTGGAAAATCACTGCAAGCCAGTCGATTAATTACTGCCGGCTTGTTTCATTGGAAGGGAACCTGCCGAGGACTAGTAAATGCCTAATGATGTTAGAAATATGTCAGAAATGTGTTACATGTAAACGTGTATGCATTACAGATAAAGGGTACAAGACAGAGGGTTTCTTAAGTATCAAAATTAGGAAGCATCAACATCAGGAAAAACATTGTGACTCTATGATTATCTACCATCTATTCTATGCTGAACTCTTACCAATCAATTTAAAAGCATGTATCATTTTATTAATCCTTGCCCATATTTTAGTCTTCTTTAACCAATTACAATCTTTATTTCTGCTTTCAGAATAAGCTAGTTTAAGCTGTAGCTTTCACCTAAAGATGACACTATGAAAGGATAGGAAATGGTCTAAGCAATCATTCAAATGAAATAAAAGATTTACCCATCTTCTTCCTTCACAGACACCTCATAAGATTCACCCTGAGAATCACGAATGAAAACACCATAAATTTTAAATAGAATTGAAAATTTGCAAAAGCAAGTTTTAAAGTATCAGCAATTATTCAGATATATAGTCTAATGATAAATCTTTGGTCTCTTCTCAGGCCTTTCACACACCATCATCACTAGGATCTTGCTTCTACAATGCTTTTAAAGCAACCAGCAATCCTGAATATGCTACTTTTTCCCTGAATTACAGTTACGCTTTCAAGTGTATGCAAAGTTGAGCATATATATCTCTCAGTTAGTACATTTTTAATAACAAAATTAATAATGGACCAAGTATCACATAGATATAGCTTACACTTGTTCAAATAATTCCAAACACTGCCAAAGGTTACTCACTCTTGTCACTGTCACTTTCTTTCCCATGTCCAGAGAATGGAGAGGCACAGCCAGGGGACTACTTACATCCATTTCCCTCCCAGCTGAGCCATGCTGAATTAAAGTGGGGGAGAAAAAAAACATTATAAGGAGAAAATTGTTTACAACCCATAGGTACAAATCTACCAGAGACAGGCTAATCCATCGTGCTTCTCCCAAGAGTTACTTTAGCTGTTATCACCGTCCACAAGCAAAACATACTCCACAGAAAAAACGCTCCTTTGGCAGCGTCATGTGCAGTCTGGGTTGACTGTGCTTGGTGTAGTGGAACGTGGTGGTTTCAGTGCTTCCCCCTCTGCAGTGAGGACCTATGGAAACAGCCTGGGTTCCTTCATAGGATCCTTTCATTCTGAATGTGAAATCTCTCCCTAAGAACGAGAAGCAGACCACAGAGAAACGTTAACTGCATCGAGCCCCGAAAAATCACAAATAAAAACACCTTAAGTAAAGTTTCAGCTTTAGTGCAGTCAACGTTGATTTGGGCCACCATGTTTTTCCTCCCCCATAATCAGTGTGAACAAAGGCCAGACTGAATAAGCAGCAAAAAGCCAGTGCAGCACTACAATTTCTCCCCTGCCAAGTGATGAGAGCACGTATTAGACTAGAGGATGCCACAAGCAGTGTTCACACCTCCCGTAGACTTTCCACTCCTGATAGTTGTCTCCCCTCTTTTGCTTTGCGGTCTCATCACAGGTATCTCAGTTCCATCCCACTGCAGGCATGTTTCTGAGTCTCTCAACCACCTCCACAGTTTTCCTTAAGCTACACAGTCACACCATCTCCAGAGGATTTTCATTATCAGCAAGTAGGTAATTCAGGAAACATCTCAATCCCTGAGCAGCCGTGATACAAACAGAGACTAAAACAGATCAAATGTTTATCTAGATTCAGCTGCGTCTCCCATAGCACAACAAGCCATGACAAATGATTGAAATCAATAACCTCACTTGTGTAAGGGCTCTTCATTTTTGTTTCATTCACATGTACTTCCAAACAGGAAACTTCACGGGCCTGGAAGAGATAAGCAATAAAATCAGCAGTCACAGAAACAGTTCAGGATCCTCACTGGGGATCTAGGGGTCCTGCAGAAACACCAGGCTTGCTCATGATGTCCTGTGAACGTGAAGAAATTGCAGAGGCTGATTTTCTTGTATAAATCATGCAAGCAATACTGTGGCAAAGGGAGCTAAGATAGTTAGGGATCTGTCTCATTAAATTTAAAGACCATTCAGGCCCCTACGATTAACACAAGAATTTTTTCTCCACATCTAGGCCACTTTAACTTTTGTCAACAGAAAAGCGACCTACAACTCTGCAGAACAACTGGACAGATGGGTCTCTACTTTAATACCTTTGGGATGAAGCTGAAACTTCCGAAAAGAGTGCTGCATAAGAGGAAGTAGCAGCACAGGAGCATCGCACATTACTTTGGACATGGTGTGAAAAGAGCCTTCAGCTCCAAGGTAGATGTTCAGTAATAAACTCTGCAGTGACACTGGACTCACACGCTTCCTTATTCACTGCCATTTCATCAGTGAGCAGCCCACTGGCACTCTGGTACAGCACTGGTACAAGCTTCTCCCAACACAGAATGCACTACAAGCATGACCAAATTCAAAACTTTACAATCACACTTGTGTCTCATCCGAAAAAGAGTAAAGATTATGCCTAAAGGTATAGTTCTTCCAACTGCATCCTTCATAAGAACATAAGCATAAAAAAAAAACAATTACCACTAGTACGCCATTAGTAATGATGTTCTCAGATACGCCTGGACTGAAAAGCAAAAATGAAAAGGTTTATTTAAGAGTGGGTATATGAGTAATAATATTTCAAATGCAAATAGTTCTCTGAGCTCAGTTTTTCTAGCTGTCAAATGCCATCAACACTTTTTTCACCTCCATCTCATGCTCACTGCCAGATCACAGCCCCGTAGCTCCCAGGGAACACCTCCCTCTTTCTTACCTGATCTGATCAGCATCATCTCTCCTTAGGCTGAACTACAAAACAAACACTCACCCTCAGCTCATAGTAAAGTGAGACTGTCACTCAAGAAGGGATTTCACCAGATTCCGGAGAGAAAAGCAACCATGGGGGAAATGTCAGGATGGAATGTCTGAGCACAGGTACTTGCAGCCCCTTCCCCAGTGCTTTATTACCACTCTCTAAAATGTAAAGTTTTCTGACAACAAATTCTGTAACATTTAGGCTTTACTCACATGTTTTCCAGTAGAAATTCCACTTCTAGTTCTTCCTGATTCTGAAAATAAGATTTATTTTTCATTTAAGAAAAATGAATGAGTAAACTTTTTTCTTTGCTCGAGCTCTGATGATTTTATATGATTTTCTCTTGCAAGGTTTTGCTGTTCCCACACCCTCTGCATCATAATGTAAACAGACAGAGCCTTCTTTGGCCACCCTTTCATTTCATGTCTCTCCACTGCTTTACTGTTTACAAACCACCTGTCTCTCCAAGGGGAAGAACCACCTAAGTATCATGAAATAGGAGGTGAAGATCCCATTATTAATTTTTTAGCAGCATGACAGGTGAGTCAATCAATGCCGAAGAAAGGAGGTATAACAGGTAAACGATATGGGAGAATATACTTGAGAATAAATGGAACTAGGTGGTGAGTATATCTGGGTTAAAACAAGAGAATTTTCAGAGTTTAGTGACGAAACATAAATAAAGCAGGAGAGGAGAGCAACTCAGAAAATGAAGGGATCTGCTTGGTAGAGTACCATGGGATAAAGTTCTGGAGGGAAGAGGAGCACAAGAAAGCTGGTTAATATTCAAGGATCAACTCCTCCAAGCTCAGGAGCAATGCACCCCAACAAAGACAAAGTCTGGCAAAAACACCAGGAGGCCTGCGTGGATGAACAAGGAGCTCCTGGACAAAGTCAACTACAAAAAGCAAGCCAACAGAGGGTGGAAGCAAGGATGGGTAGCCTGGGAGGAATACAGAGAAACTGTCCAATCAGCCAGGGATCAGGTTAGGAAAGCCAAAGCCCTGGTAGAATTAAATCTGGCCAGGAACATCAAGGGCAACAAGTAAAGCTTCTATAGGTATGTCGGTGATAAAAGGACTAACGAAAATGTAGGCCCTCTCCGGAAGAAAATGGGAGACCTGGTTACTCAGGATATGGAGAAGGCTTGAGGTACTCAGTGACGTTTTTGTCTCAGTCTTCACTGGCAAGTGCCCTAGTCAAGCTGCCCAAGTTGCAGAAGGCAAAGGCAGGGACTGGGAGAATGAAGAACTCCCCACTGTAGGAGAACATTAGGTTCGAGACCATCTAAGGAACCTAAAGGTGCACAAATCCATGGGACCTAATGAGGTGCACCCACAGGTCCTGAGGGAACTGGCAGATGAGGTTGCTAAGCCACTACCCATCATATTTGAGAAGTCATGGCAGTTCAGTTCCCACTGGCTGGAAAGGGGAAACATAGCCCCCATTTTTATAAAGGGGAAAACAGAAAGACCCGGGGAACTACAGGCCAGTCAGTCTCAACTCTGTGCCCGGCAAGATCATGGAGCAGATCCTCCTGGCAAGTATGCTAAGGTACATGGAAAAGAAGGAGGTGATGGGTGACAGCCAACATGGCTTCACTAGGGGCAAATTGTGCCTGACAAATATGGTGGCCTTCTACAATGGGGTTACAGCATTGATGGATAAGGGAAGAGCAACTGACATCATCTACCTGGAGTTGTCCAAAGTATTTGATACTGTCCCACATGACATCCTTGTCTCTAAATTGGAGAGACATGGATTTGACGGATGGACCACTTGGTGGACAAGAAATTGGCCGGATAGTCACACTCAAAGAGTTTTGGTCAACAACTCGATGCCCAAGTGGAGACCAGTGACGAGTGGTGTTCCTCAGGGGTGAGTACTAGGTCCAGCATTGTTTAACATCTTTGTCGGCAACACGGGCAGTGGGATTGAGTGCACCCTCAGCAAGTTTGCTAATGACACCAAGCTGTGTAGTGTGGTCAACACACCGGAGGGAAGGGATGCCATTCAGAGGGATCTTGACAGGCTTAAGAAGTGGGGTCATGTGAATCTTGTGAAGTTCAACAAGGCCAAATGCAAGGTCCTGCACGTGGGTCAGGGCAATCCCAAGCACAAGTACAGGCTGGGAGGAGGATGGATTGAGAGCAGCACGGAGGAGAAGGACTCGGGGGTCCTGGTTGATGAGAAGCTCAACATGAGCCGACAATGTGCACTGGCAGCCCAAAGTCAACCATATGCTGGGCTGCATCCAAAGACGTGTGGCCAGCAGGTCAAGGGAGGTGATTCTGCCCCTCTACTCTGCTCTCGTGAGACCCCACCTGCAATACTTCATTCAGCTCTGGGGTTCCCAACATAAGGAGGACACGGAGCTGTCAGTCCAGAGGAGGGCCACGAAGATGATGAGAGGTCTAGAGCACCTCTCCTATGAAGACAGGCTAAGAGAGTTGGAGTTGTTCAGCCTGGAGAAGAGGAGGCTTCAGGGAGATCTTATAGCAGCCTTCCATTACCTAAAGGAGGCCTACAGGAAAACTGGAGAGGGACCTTTTACAAAGGCATGCAGTGATAAGACAAGGAGCAATGGCTTTAAACTGAAAAAGGGTAGATTTAGATTAGATATAAGGAAGAAATTTTTTACAATGAGAGTGGTGAAGCACTAGCATAGGTTGCCTGGAGAATCTGTGGATGCCCCATCCCTGGAAGTGTTCAAGGCCAGGTTGGATGAGGCTTTGAGCAACCTGGTCTAGGGGAAGGTGTCCCTGCCCATGAGGATTGGAACTAGATCATCTTTAAGGTCCCTTCCAATCCAAACCTTTCTATGATTCTGTGAAAATTGCAAGGGGGAAAGGAAGAAGAAAGACGAGGGAAGACTGAAACTGTGAAGGGGAATGAGGGAAATTACTTACAAGGGCCAAATCAAGATGAAAAAGGGAGAAGAGCATAAGAGCAGGGAACAGCAACAGAAAAGATTAACATACCAATAACATAAGAGAGACTGAGTAACTGTATTATTTTACTGCAGCCATTTGCTGGATCAGTCTGCATGGGACACAGCCAGTCCAGGAAATACCACACAAAACTGTATATCAGAGAGATCTTCTGTATCACTCACAAGGAGGAAAACACTAATTAGGGAAGGATATAAATCTCTTTCTGACAAGTGACCGTAAAATTTTTCGTTCATATTCAGAAGAACTAACCTTTACTGCCAAATATCCCTTCTGTCTGGCTGCACAGCATTCTTTAACTTTGTGAAGAGACTGTGAAAACTATGCCAAGTCTGATAGTGTAGCTGCCAAGGTAAAATCATCACTACAATAAAGATGAAAAGTGAGTATTTGTGTATTTATGAGTTCTAGTCCATAAATGAGACATCTCAGGCGGCTTCTCTGAGAGCTGATCTGTGCCACGTAACCCAGCAGCAGGTGCTTCTGAATGCTTATTTCTCTCAAATGAAATGAGAATTAGGGTGGTTGCAACAGAAGGCTGAGGGATGGATTTTAGAAAGCAGTCACATTACAGAGATGCAAGACAGACTTTATCAAGCATCAGATCATGATCAATCCATACCATCCAAACTCCCTGACAATCTGTTCCAGCATTGTCTAAAGAACAGCAAAAACAACGTTCGAGAGACCCTGACTGGTAACACCTGCCTAATTGTGCCTGCCTTATGTTCCCATCCTTCTTATGCTGTTGTACGCACACTTACGTTATATTTCTATCAAGTCCCATTGACATTTTTGTGGGTGAAAAACCTGGAGTAAAGCAATGGAAAGACTTGTTAGACCACGCAGTGAGCAAGAGGCACAGCAGGAAGCAACCCTGATGCTCTGACATTACCCATCCAGCCTCCTCAGCCCTCCTTTTGAGATACCTGGGTAGATGAAAGAAATCATTATGGGCAGAGGTGGCGGTACTACCTATTATTAAGGTTGCTCAGCATATTCCATTACTAAATCACTTTAAAAAAAAATATTTAACCCTAAGCATTCAAATAATCCATGTACAGACCATAATCTGTGATGTCTCATGGGCACCTGAGTAGATGTTGTGATTTGAATAAAGACGGCCTGACCAAGACGTTCCTGAGACACAACTCACCTTGTCTTATCTCCCCAAATTCCACTTTGCCAAGCCAATGGGTTAAGCCAACTCTGCATATGCCTCAGAGCAAACTCACAGCTTGAATCACACCTCAAATGATCTCAGTCACATGAGGCTTTTTCTAAGGAAAGCTGTAGCCAGCTGGAGCAGGTATATTGAAGTCCTTAGTAAGGATTGGCTTTCTGGAAGAGGAGTTAATAAACACTCTCCAAAGCAATAGTAATATAAAACACAGGCAGGAGTGTTTTCCGGACAGCCTGCCTGACACAGTGGTTTAGAAATAAAAGAGCATACACAATTCCTAGGAACTATAAACTCAAGCCCTTGTCAGAAGCGTGAGAAAGCCCTGAAGTCTCATTACTACTCAACCTCCAAGCAGAGAGGTGTTATATTTCATGGGAAGTACTCTGACCACATATTTTGCTCTCTTAAAAGATGGATGTGATCTCAGCAATTTCATCCACCAAACATTTCATAAGAAACTCTTTATCCCTTCTTTAATCCAATCAAGTACAATATTCTTTGAGACATATGCAGCAAATAAAACTCCTGGGTCACACACTGACCTAGAAGAAAAGAATAAAATACTGAGGAGATTCTCATTCATCAAGCCCTATTTATGCTGTGCTGGCTCAGCCCCACTGAAAGAGATTTGTAACCCTGTAACAGAAGATCATAAACAGACGTGCTGAGAATTTTTTTTTTTTAAGTTGTTGTTTACCAGAAGGAGGAAAAAACCCCGAGATACTTTCATGACAATATATAATAATTTACGAAATATATTGCCTTAAAGCACAGAACAAAACCCCTGGTGAAGCTGAGAGGAGGTACCCCTAGTGAGCTACTGGCCAAAGAGTCAGGACAGCTGCCCAGAAAGGGGACCAGGTTTGTTCCCATCCCTGCTCTGTCAGTCTCCCACAACAGCAAAGAGATCTCTAACAATCAGCTTCTTCATTTTTGACTCTTGCTCTCTCTGTTCTTTTTCAAAAAATATTTTTGAAATATCAAAAAACAAATTCAGACAAAGAAAGCCATTTTGCATTTGATTGCAACCACAACAGAGGGGTGAGCGTTTCTGACCCTGCCTAAACCCTGAGCATTTCACTTTGTGCTCTTATAAGGTCCTTTTATCAAAGTCTTTGTGTGTGAGAACAACTCTGATGTTTAATATAGGCAGTAACTTGGGACAAAATTGTGACCAAGGGTATTATTTTATCTATCCACCTAATTTCACTCATCTTTCATTTCTCACCTCTGGATTCAACTCAAAATTCAGGTGAGCTTTTTCTCCAAGTTGGATTTTAGCTACATCAAAGCGAACAGTCAAAAGTTGGTCATCTGGTGTGTAAGTATCCTCATCGCAGACTGTCAGCTCCAGGATGTTCTGAGGAGAGAGGCAGAGAAGGATGTAAATGACACATTCTGGGACTACTGACCCCAAAAGGAAAGTCGAAGCAAGAGTCAGTATGCAGCCCTCATGTTGTTCAACGCAGACAGACTCCTGCGACAGCATGGACCCAAGTTCACAGGCCCTGTGGCTCAGGCTGCAAGGTCAGGGACTAAGCCTAGAAGAAATAGATCATCAGATTTGGCAACGAACAAGAGCTCAAAAGAAAAGCAGCATAAGTGACACGCATGATGGTAATATGCACTGGACAGAGTAGAGATTACACACGCTGTTCATCAGATCCTTTGTGGATTCAAAACTACTATCTGGAGAAATTGATGTATCAGCAGAAAGCAATAACAGAGGGCAAACTCTTAGCCCTATACAAAAGGAAGGTAAAGCACATTAACAAACTCTTCCAACGAGATTTAAGTTGTATTTATTCGCCCTGCAATTCCTCAGGGCTCAGATTCCCCATAGCAGCGTGAGAAGATCGACCCCTCGTCTAGATTTTGTATCACTCGCACTCTGACTGCAAATATTTTTCTGCTAACTCTACAAACAATTTAAGTTTTTTACAACTGCTCTGGGACAGAAAGAATCATTCAACTTTATTCCAGACTATCCATAACCTTCTGAGCTTACACTCATTCAAAGTATGGGATAGACATGGTTCTATTATAAGTCTGTAAGTTAGACGTACAGTTTGCTTTCTCCTAGCCTGTTAGGCTTTTGAAAATCATAGAATCATAGAATGGTTTGGGTTGGAAGGTGTCCTAGTTTTAGCTGGGACAGAGGTTTTTTTTTTAACAGCTAGAAAAGCTCCATGTTTTGGTTTTACTCAGAGGCTCACTCTGAGAAGAACGCTGATAAGCTGCCAAGGACTTTTCAGTGTGCCGGAGTGCAGAAGCACAGCGGGATAAGGGGGGAGCACAGATGGGACAAGGGGGACACGATTCCCCTTGTGATTTGTGTGGAACTTAAGACTGAGGGCCAAACTGGCCAATTAGTATTCCATATCGTGCAGCGTCATGCCCAGTATAAAAGCGAGGGTCAGCCGGGAAGAAGGGCTTTTGCGCTTTGGCTTTTGCGCTTTGGCTCTTTCGCAATTGCTGTGTTTTTCGCTCT